TGCAAGGGAGGCAAGGAAAGCAGGTACCATCTGCCCTCTGTAGCCACCGAATCCACATGCCCAGATTCAACCAAATGGAGACGGAAAATAATTGGGAAAGAAACCCCACAATTAAAAATGGCAATAAGCCTAATACAAATGTAAACCAGTACAACTATTTCTAGAACATTTACATTGTATTAGATATTATAAATAATCTAGAGATAGTTTAAAGTATACAGGAGGTTGTGTGTAGGTTGTATACAAATACTGCATGGGTTCTTTTTTTTTTATCAGGAACTTGAGCATCCCAAGGATTTTTGGTATTCATGGGGTCTGGGACCAATCTCCTGAGAAAACCGTAGAACAACTCTATCCAACATTTTCAGCTTTTATAATGGATGGTAATATTTGTCAGAAATAGCTACAAAGGGGGGGAGGGTTCAGATTTTGGGCAGCCAGAAAGAGAGGGTTCTCTCTCTCGAGGTGAACATTTAGGTCAGTAGAAGAAAGTCGATTTGAAAAGTTAGTAACAGTAGAAGCCTCTAGGGCAGATGTTGGATAGAGTATGGCATTGGTGTCCAGTGGAAACAAGTTTAACCGGATTAGAGGGTGTGTTCTGGGAAAATGGTTGGAGAGAAGTTGAAGGAATAGGGTGAGACAAGATTAAGGATGGCTTTGTAAGTCTGGCAGAGTAATTTAAATTTAATATGGGAATTTTGGAAGCTTGTAAAAGTTTTTGAACAAGAAAGTGACCGAGAGGAAGTGGTATTTAAGGAGCGTTAATCGGGCAGCACTTCTAGAGGCAGCTACGAGGCATCTGTGGTAATTCAGGGGTGGGGTGATTGGGAGTAGAAATAAAGGCAAAGATTGGACAAAGAGAGAATTTGGAGGGAAAAAAACAATAGGACTTCGAAAGGGATTGAAGTAAAAGGTATTTCTAGAATTTCTGAGCCTGAGTGACTGGTCCTCCCTTCCATTTAAACCTAGGCTAAAGAGGGAACCAGTTTGGAGGAAGAAGAAGAATGAATTTTAGACTTGTAATTGAGGTCAGGGCGATAGATACTGAATCAAAATAATTCCTGTGCAGTTGGAGATGGAGACCAGGAAGTGGGAAGGATGGTTGCCAGGCAGAAAGGCTGTGAAGACAATGGTGGAGAGAGAGTGTGCTGGAAGCTTCAGGGTGTTTTTCAGTTTCCGGTTATGGGCAGATAGCTGGACTGTCTTGAATTCGATTTCAAGTGATAAATCAGAGCCACAACCTGTGCCTTCTGTTTCATAAAGCTTCAGCGCTCCCACTTCAGGACACATGGATCCTATTATTATTTCACATGGTTTCTTCCTGTTCCTCAAATAGCTTTAGAAATAAAATGATGACTTGGGACCAGCAGTTAGCGTAATGGTTATGTCGCTGGACTCCCACATAGTCAACCGTGGTTCGAGTCCCGGACCCAGTGGCTTAAACTCACGCCGGGCACGTGTGCGTGCATGCCTAAGATCCCAAGAGGAGAATGGAGGAGAAGGGATTGCGGCATGGCCATCCCCCCTGGGGGGTGATTTCCTGCTTTCTGCTTTCTGTCTCTCTCTGTCTGTCTGGCGAGCGCACGTGC